GCTATTTAATTAAAATCACATTTCAATTAAATATTAAATTAGAGTCCAACTCTAATTTCATAACTTAAGGCAGTTGAATTTAATTAAAATCAAATTTTAATTAAATAACAAAATTAGAGTCTAACTCTAATTTCAAGATTTTATGGCGAATTTATTTAATCAAAATCATATTTTAATTAAATACCAAATTAGAATCTAACTCTAATTCCAAGAAGAAATATAGGGCGAGACAATTTAACTAAAATCAATTTTTAATTAAATGTCAAATTAGAATCCATTTCTAAATTCAAGAAATGCTAGGGTAAATTATGTAACTAAAATCAAATTTTAATTAAATATTAAATTAGAGTCCAACTCTAATTCCAAGGCAAATTTTAGGGTAAGACAATTTAACTAAAATCAAATTTCAATTAATTTTTAGATTAGAATCCAATTCTGATTTTAAGAATATATATGGGTGAATAATTAAGTAAAATCATATTTTAATTAAGTATTGAATTAGAGTCAAACTCTAATTTAAATTGAATTAATATTTTAATCTATGACAATATCCCTAAATAAAGTAAAATTCAATTTGAGGTCAAAGTTTTAATATTTAAGTTAAAATCATATTTTAACGAAGATATAAAAAGTCGTCAACTTTAAATAAAATTTTAATTTGGGTCAAAATTAAAATTATGGGTCAAATCCATTTGAAATTCAAATTTAAAACCGTTTTAAAATTCAAATTTAAACACTTTCAAAATTTGCAATTTGACCCAAGTTTAAAATTAAAAATCAAATCCTTCCAATTCGCTAATTGCAGAACAAGTTCTCTTTTTAAAATTGCACATTGACCCCTCTTAATTTAATTGCAGGAGAAGCCTCCGTCCCAAAATCACCATTCCCGAATCTGAAAGAAAATCTAAAAGAAAATTCCCAAATTGAAATCCTAGAATTCCACCCCTTTTTCTTCTTCTTGTTTTCAGGGGCACCGCCAGCCTGAAGTCGATGACTTCCTGCCGCCATAGCAGCGTGTGGCACTGCTACGATAAACAGCAGCAGCGCCAGGCCGGCGCTGCCATAATCGACGGCGGCAGCAGCTGCACTAAGTCGTTGGGCGCTGCCCATCGGGGCAGCTCCGATTGCTGCCCTATTTTCAAATCCATTATTATTATTATTATTATTATTATTATTATTATTATTATTATTATTATTATGTTTCGAATCAGATTTCAAAAATATAAAATTAAATTTCCACTTAATTGCTGGAAACAGGAAAATAATAACAATCAACATTTGACTGTTAATCACGCAAATCAATTTCTAACAAACACAAAGGAGGCTCTAATATCACTGTTGGGAATCTACTTAACATGTACGGCGGAAAATTAAAACAGATTTCGATTCCCACCAAAATCGCCTTTGTGTTTAAATAAAAATTGTGATAAGATTGTACATTTTTCAGATATGCAAACTTCTTTGCTATTCTTTTCGTTTCAGCAATCTTGATTCGCCACCCACATCTGTCCAATTGTCCAGCCTCCAACGGTGATCCACACAGAGAACAATATTACATCTACCAGGGTTTTCTCCTCTTATACTAGTAAGAATAATTATGAGAAAAATATATGGTTTGAAAATCCTAGTCATGTATTTATATAAGCGCAAACGGGTCTGGCCTGGTCCGGTCCAATATTTAATTAATCCATTTAATTAAATTCGGTCCGTGGATTAATTAATTTGGGCCTATAAATAACCAAACGAATTAATTAATTTATCCAACAATTGTTAAATTAATTAATTGACAAATTGCAATCTTCCAATTCTCTTTTGTGTGCGACCCATCAGGTTCTTGATCACGATGCCTAACGACTTGAAATATTATTTTGATCTAATCAAAATTGATAAATTAAAACACCCTTTTAATTTATCATCAATTCACACTCGCCGTCCCAAATTGACATCTAGCAATGTGTCAGGGCAATACATGTGACTAAAAATGTCATGTGGTATGACAAAACCAAACTCGTTCGTTTACCGTGAAACTATAATCCCTTCGTCAATATTATTCGATCAATTACGAGATATGAAAGTGTGTCAATCTCGATTATCGATCATATCTTTCACTCCACCATTAAGTTAATATAAGTCGAAAACTTCTTTTCGACTTATGAATACACCTTGGCCAAGAATTTCGTTATCGACTTAATTGAATGAAACGCAAATCATAATCTCCTACTATCTAAGAGTGACAGATCCTCTATTAGTCATTAACAATCTTCATACGATTTTTGACATGCCCGAACGATGCAGTATTAGCGGCCCTTGGTAGAGTAACATCCAACACCGTCAAAGCATGACTGTCCTCATATAAGATACTATGACGACCTCAAGTCAAAGGACCAATCCCACTACCGAGCATTAGAGATTAACCACTGACACTTAGATGGTTATCTATGTAGAATCTCTCGGTGGGTCTCCAATATTTTGTTCTATAACAAAACATCAACGTGTTCATTTAAGTGTCACCACACTTTAACTTGTGAGATCGGCTACTTACTTCACAAGTAAGGAATGTCACACGTGATGGTCTATCCGTAATAACGATATTCGTATCTTGTTATTACTTACAATCACGGATGATTTAAGATTCAATCATATATAATTTGTATCTCACAATCACAGCTCCTTGTGATTAACAAATTACGAAAATTTGAATCTACGGACTTTATTATTTATTTAATTGTCTATTAATTAAATAATAGATTTGTCATTAAATTACATTAATTATTTATCAAAAGTATTTATGTCCAAACTTGATTGGACTTAGGGTATAACACTTACAGATGAGTAACCATTTCTATTCATATTAGTGTATATACTATGTCTACAAGTTAAATCCCAAATTTAAAAATGATTGATGCGAAAGGAATGATGTTTGGGAAATAAAAGGATCAAAGATGCAAAAAAAAAAATCTAAGTGGACTAAAAGTGTACATTAATTGAAAAAATGCAGCCCAACTTGTGCCACCGACTCATGGCTTGCACATTTTACTTTTTATTTTTTCTATTAAAAATTTCTTTTTCTTTTTTTTTTCCTTCCAGCTCCTTGGCGAACGATGAGCCAAGGAGCGACTCGCACGGGAAACATTCAACTCAGCTTGTCCCATAACTTGTTTCGAAATCGAGTTGAGCCAGCTCTGCTCGTTCCTACAAGCAGTTCATCTCACTTTAAAACCTTACTTGGAGCTTTATTTTATTGTGAATATAAATAATTTTGATTTAGTAAAACAAAATTGCATACTAGAAGAAAAATTATAAATATAGTAAGATATTGAAGTGATATATTAAACAAGAATAACCTCCAGATTAGTCATAAAAAGTTCTAGTCCCAGCTTAGGCTTGTTATAAATAAAAATAAACTCAACATCATAATAATTATAAAATTTTAAGGTCCTATCTTGATGAACTTACCTTCATATAGTAATAATTATATGTACATGGCTTGTGTTATACAATGTATTTAAAGAATTTATATTGAGAGAAAAGTATTATAGAAAATATAAAATTTTATACTTTAAGATGACTTCACATATTTTTAACGGTAAAATATATACAAGTTTTTTGAAATTATGTATATCTCTTTTATCGATGTCTATACCTTGATTTAACATCTATACAACTTCCTTAACTAAATCAAAATAATATTTCTGATAATTTAACCTATAACTTCCTCATATTAATAAAACCAGTTTGGTCTCAACATTAGTATAGAATGGTTTTACTGTAATTTTTTTTTTCTTTTTAAAGACTCTAGCATGGTTGACTCTATTTAAAAGTAAATTTAACTTAATTTTATGTTACTTATTTGATTGGCAAAAATAAGAATTAAAAATCAATTAGAGATTAGTTTGTTTATTCTAGTGTACTCCAGTACTCAGCTAGGATTCATCAAAACCAAGAACTCATTTGATAATCATTTTTTTTTTTAATTCTTATTTTCAATCATACATTCTCACAATAAAGTATTCATAACGTAAAATCGAAACTTTTCTTTACTTTTAACCATACACTCTCTCAATATTTACTATTCAAAACTCATTTTTTCAAACAAAAAATAAAAAATCGGCCAAACAGGGACTAAATACTACGAACTTCTCAAATGCAGTAAGGCTTTCGCCTGGCTTCAAAATTGCGTCCGGCACCATTTATCCATTTATTTTTTTATCTTTGACGAGCAAATTACTAAAATATTAAAATTCTATAAGACATTATATTTGTTCTTATTTGGCTTTCACTATAAATTTAATATGTTATAGAAATGAGTGATGTATAAGTGAAAAGTAAGTATGAGTCCTATAAAATGTATAATCAAGATTAAAATTCGACTTTAAAATATAATGAAATCCAAACAAGCACTTATTTCAAGATATGAATTGTTATTTATGAAAAAGAAATAGTGTACTGAAAATGCTTTTTCGTGAAATCAAAAATAAAATACTTATCCGTGAATAGTAATTGTGAATGTGTATTCAAGTTTGGCCATGATTGGAAATTATGAGTTTCATTTTAGGAAATCCTAAGAGAGATTGTTCGGATAAAATTATTAGTAGCTAGCTTATAAGAAAGAATAGTAGTTGATTTCACGAAATGTATAGATAATAAGTGAATAGCAATGATGAACGTCTCATTAAAATTAATGAATGATTTTAATTGAAAATTATAAATTATTAATAATTTTAGCCAAAAAGAATATAAATCTCCTTTCTAGTTGCTGATGATTGGATTACTTTGTGATTTATCGACATTTGAATGTCCCACCGATCGACTATCAAATCTAACTAAACTAATTTGAAAGAGAAATATTTCTTTCTAATTATAAAATAGCTTAGATTGAGAACACAAGTATTTTTAAATAGTGGTTTTTTCAAGAACGTATGAATAAAAAAGAAGAAATTTTTTTTAATTTACGTGTAATACTATTTTATTAAAGCAATCAACCACTTAATAAAACAAGCTAACAGGAATTTCTTCTTTACATCCTCTCCCCCTTTTTCCTCTCAGTTGCAGAGGTAAATGTTCGGTTGGGAAAAGAAAAAAATTGAAAAGATTGAAAAGTCGAAATGCAACAAACAGTAAAAAGAAAAGATACAGATAAAATAGCTCCACGACCATTTGAACAGGATAGAACCATTATCAAACCATTAAAAAAATAAAGGTTTAATCTAAATAATGGTAATCAATCTTATGTTTGAATCCCAGAACTATCTCAAGCTATCATCGATATTAAAATCCTGTGATGTCTCGCCTCGTTGGTGATCTGTTAGACGAAAATCCGGTACAACCTCGATGTCTCTGTCAGGCTTTTGTAAAATTGCCAAAGATTACCACTCCTCTAAGTAAATAAATTAAATTGTGAAACCAAGAGTTGCAAGATTACCTGCAATAGTTGCAAGAGATGCCAGAACAAAAAATCAATTATCATGACCAGGCAGAAGAGCTTGCCCGCCCAAGCACCGCATGGAAGGTACCTAGAAAAACATACATCGCGATAACTTTTATCGGTTCAAACTTTTTTTTTTTTTTTTTTTTTTTTTTTTGGGGAACAGGATTCGAATAAAATGTGCCTACCCAATCTTTTACATCCTCCTGTCTGAACTATGAACCACCAAGGTTGCATAAAAGTGAAATGAGACTTAACAGATTATCTCCCGGATTAATGAGAAAATACTATTCAATCACCATAATGTATATAAGATCATGAATTAACAAACGATCAGTTCGTATATTCTAGGAAAGGGAAGTTAATGATGACATTGGAAGGAAATAGCCCATATACAAATCCTTTGAAGAGACCAATTCCCAGTTACAGAATTTTTATTTGCTTTGGCAATTCTAAGAAGCACGTCCATGAACCAAGGCTTTCACGACGACAACAGCATTCTAGGCAGATTATAAATTTATATAGAGGTTTATTTTTTCATTTCATATAAACCATTTGTCATCACTCAATATAAAGCCGGATAGTGAATCAAGACCAGGGTGCTTTGCTTCAAAACCACAAGGGGATTGCAGATAAGAAAGTTTATGTGATCAGTAACAAGAAATTCATGTCTATGCAAACAGATTTTTTCCATAAAATGTTAAGCCATTAACTTTTTGTTTCTTTTTTACGTATTATTCTATGTATTTATTTGCCTCTTTGGAAATACACCTGGGAAACTGAAAAGTTACCACACAAGTCTTCCAATCATACCTTGATAGCCGTTCTAAGAGATTCTGACTGGAACATCTCAAAGCACGATCGTAAACAATCTCTGTCCTTCTAGCAACATCATGCCAACTGTACAGCGTCTTCATCTGTTCAAAAATAAATTAGAAAAAATTAATCTCACTAATCTGTTTGACATATTTACATGGGGAAATTAGATTTTCAACCCTGTTCAGAAAAGGAAATAGACTTTAATCCCTTGTAATTAAGGTCACTGACACATTATGTGCTCAATTAAAAATTAAACCACCATTCTTGGGTATTTAGCTGAGTGAAAATAATATATTCTTTATCAGAGCAGACAGTCTTGAGACAAAGATAGAAGGTTACCATATGGTTTATATCCTTAAATAACTTGCCAGCAATGATAATCACACCCGGACATAATTGGTTACTCCATCTTACTTTATGGTTGGCATACCAATGACGCTTTCAAAAATATCTGTCAACTCATACGAAGGATGTAGGTTCAATTTTGAGACAATGGGGTATGCAAAATAGATGTGTAATAGTAAGATAATTATTACAAGTTTTCCATAGTCAAGGGCCATCTCTCGCCATTAAACTCTGCTAGAAATAGCTATGTAAATGACCAACATTCGATTTTATCAATATTGGACTTGTTTCATAACTACTTGATACAAATAATTAACTTCAACCTGTATCATTGACACATGCATGAACAAGATAAGAAAAATTGGTTCATGGATAAGTGTTTCTGTAGAAACCCTATGTATGATTTGTGAATTCAGAGAATATAAGGAAGTGGTGATGTGGAGAATGATTGGTTTAAGTGAATCACATTGGTGGAAAAATGAGTGTTATTGGCAAAATTATCTCATCTGTTTGTGCATACGTTTGATCTCGTGTTGCATGATTTCAGAATCAATGCCATGCAGACCTCGGTAGGAACACGAGCAAATTAAAACATTTCTTATGAACAAAAGAGTGAGGGAGAGGAGGAAATCACGGAGAGGGTTCAGCTATGAGAAGATGAAGGTCAAATGGCATTAAATTGAATAAAATAGCAGTTTTGACATTTAACACAAAGCAGTAGATACAGCCTTGATTTAAACTTCATCAGATGTCACAGGAAGTTAGGGATGGTTTTTTTAACAGAAAAGGATCTGGTTATTAAGTGCCTAAGCCAAGATGGTAAAAATGTGACAATTTTTTTGCTTCATAGAACTCACCCGAGTGTGCATTGCTTGTGGATCAATCTGGGGAAGTATATGGAGAGCCATTGTAATTGCTTGTACCATGTCATTTGGATCCGGCTCTGCAAGAACAATCATATCATCTGGAAGAACCTACAAAACAAGAAGGTAAACATTTCAGAAGTCTGAACACACAACTAGAAGTTTCCAGAATTTTCAGAAAGCCAGCATTGGTAAAAATCCCATCCCCACACAATACTAGCACAATTGAAGAAGCCATCAAACTAGTTGAGCAAAGAGAAAATGGATAATGATCATGCCTCTGGGACGCCTCCCACACGTGTGCTGACTGTCAATAATCCACAACTAGCTGCTTCCAGTATGGCGATACAAAATGCTTCTGTTAAAGAACTTACAAAATGGACAAAAATCAGGTAAAACTGCTAAAGAAATCTGAGATGTAATATATAAAGGAAAAAATGAATGTAAAGTATAAGTTTTTATGAAAACTCTAAACAGTATTAGGGATTTGCAAATCTTAGTTTCCAGATCTTTTATTTGATATATAATGAAAGAGGGGAGCCGTCTATATTACATTTTATTTTTAAGTCAATGTATGATGCATAAAACAAGCCTCAAGCTAGCTCCACAGGAAGATATTCTGGCCAAGTTGAACCTAGTCGAGTCAAGAACAAATTCTACCTTTAGGCTAGAATAAAATTAGTAAATTTTAGGCAAGATTTATGATACTTCTAGAGGCCAATGGTTTTGGTATGTTTCCAAAGGGTGACTTTGCCAGCATGAAAGTTATCACATCCATGATACACCTTTAAGAATTATTTTTCCCCTCAAAAAATTGGTAATCTCAAGCGCACTCAGATCAGGTCATGCTCTGTCAATTCTATGTTCAATGCCATGGCTTTCCTGGTATACGGGTAGTTTCTACTTTCTTAAGATATAGGAATTTGAACTTCAGCCCACATCTTCAAATAGTTCTTTAGATTCTTAACAGCACACAGCATCAAGTCTAATTCTTCAACACATTACCCTTGACCATTAAAAATTCCAAAAATCTCCAAAAGACCATCTTTGGTATGTTGTCCACACTAAAGCATAGTCCTGATACTTTGTTCCAATAATTTTCCTTCTTTCTTCTTTCAGCTCGAGACAAATGTGGAATGCCCATCCATTAACGCCTTGACTCCTCTTCCAATAGATTCAAACTCTTTAGCTTTATCGTCTTAAAACTGAAGAAAACAGCCCAAAACATTTATTTCACAAGTGGGTAGAAATGATCAAACATAAAAAATGGCGAGGGAATAAACCATGCTTTTCCTACATCTTGTAAGGGTATCAAAGAGATGGGAATAGAATGAAAGGGGGGAAAGGAAGCGGATTTTTTGCTGAATTGAGGGAACAATATTTCAGTGTCCCAAGATATTTACTATTTAAAGGTATCCTGACTTATTGATTCTCGGTGGATGCCACCCTTAAAGATGAAGTAATTTCATCAAATAGAAACTGTTTCAGCACCTCTATCATCACCGTCAATGAAACAGGTTCTCATAATTTCTTTTAAGCCACAAAAGGCTAGTATAACATAAAAAATAAAAATAAAAACCAGTTCAATCTACACCAAATTGCTGGGACTTTCTTGTTCTCTTTCATTGGTACCTCCATATAGGGGATAATTTCATGAGATAAACAACTATTAAAGCCTTCTCTATTGGCGAAAAATAAATAGTCAACAGTCTAAATATTATTTCATTCAATCTTTATTTTTGGAAGTCGCCATATGCTGACTAGACTAAAACGAAAAACTTCGGCTTATCCTCGTATAAATGGGTACGCTCAAATCTCATGCATGTCTCCATGCCTCTACCAAGGTTCAAAATATGCATTAAGGGCATCAAACTCACTGTTACAAGCATTTAGAAATAGTTAAACTTTAGCGTTTATTTGGGAGGTATATATAACCGGGGTAAATTATAATCAGATCTTACAAAATGTTGTGGATAAACGGTAGATTTGATCAAAAAGTGTTTATAATTTCAAGACCTCCCAAACAAGTGCTTAGGCTGATTTTATCATATAATCAATCCTAAATATACTAGAGCAATCCTATAGATAAAAGGAAGAGTAAAATATTATCCTATGACAACATTAATTCCTAGCTATACTAGAATATAAGATAGAGTTAAATAGATCTCCTATTCTAACTCAAGCAAATTAAACCATTCTTCAAAAGTAAGAAAACTGATTGAAATAGGTAATAAAAGTGGTGTCTCTTTTGACATACTTGAACAAACTAAAATAAAGAAGTTAGATACCTGTTTAAAAATATATGGCCAGTTATCAAAACAGACTGTACTTTAGCATGTGGGACAGCACCCAACATATCTACTCGATCTTGAAGAGAGTGTTTTTCCCTCATTTCTTCCAGCCTCACTCTTTTAGGTCCATCTCCTCCAATAATGAAGCGTACCTTGTCACATGCATCCGTGAGAGATATAGTCATACAAAGTTATTGTATGAGTGACATGCACAGTACAAAACTATAATTAATGGAAAGGGAAGTTCAAAGCTAGAAAAGGCTTCCTGACATGTTAAGTTATGATTGCCAATGTTCATGCTCTCTTACCTTTTCTGTCCAAATAAAAATGAAGGCCATATTTGTGTGTGTGTGTGTGCGTGTGTTTGTAATTTATATGGAGAGAGAGAGAGAGGTATAGGTATAGGTAAAATAGAGGAGACTGAGTCCTGATATTCATAACGAGTCTAAATTTTACAATCATGAAAAACATGGACACTCACAGCATAGACGAAACTTAAAGATTTAATTGTGATGAAACAGTGACGAAGTGAAGCAACAAATAAGAATAATGAATGACATCCTTGAGGACAAGCGAAATACTTAAAAACTTCACAAGTAGGCTAATTGGGAAAAAAAATGTAAAATATACTCACATTGGAATGCAAACGGCACACTTCAGGGATAACTTCAACAAGCAGATCTGCTCCTTTTCGGTAGACCAATCGACTTATCACAACAATTACAATTTCACGATTGCTAAGTCGCTCTGCAGCAGGCTTAAACATGGCAGTATCGACAGCATTGGGAATAACAAAAACCTTTTCAGGTGGCAGTCCTGATCTCAAAACTGTATTTTCTTTACTCGTATGAGAAACACAAATAGCCTGAGTCACATCTGCTAAAGTGAACTGCAGAACCTTGTTCATGTGAATACTTCCTACATCACCAAATCCGTATAGCGAATGATCTGTGAACACAACTTTGTATCCCATAGTGCGCGCATGCATTAAAGCTTCATGGCATAAAGTTGAAAAGGCTTGATGTCCATGCACCAATGATATCTTTTCCCGAATCAAAATCGTCCTTATTATTGGAAGTGTCCCATAAAATGTGGGCAATGTATTCTGCATAAGAAATGGTTTCCACGGCACATAATAAACTTTCAACCCCCCGGTCATATACCTCACTCCAGATCGATTTTGATAAGCATGAGTCATAACAACCACCTGAGATGTAGAATTTAACAGCAAGTCACCTAAAATCCATCTTCCTTGTAGTACTTGATTTTAGTACAGGCAAATAAGAGAGGACGAATTTTGGAAAGAATTTCAATTTCTCATCCATTTAAGAAGAAAAATTCAAAAAATTATAAAATTAGATCATTGAAATATTCATGTTTTCACTTACCTTGTGGCCGAGCTTAATCAAGCACTGCGATAGATAATAAATGTGATTCTCTACACCACCAAAGTTGGGATAAAAAAAATCTGATACCATCAAGATTCTATGTTTTTCTTGATTGCTCATCTTCTTTGACATTGTATCTCAAAAACCTGCAAGCAACCCAAATAATCATTCTATGCTATCAAGACTAAGTTACAAGATGCAAATTGGGTACAATTAAACTCACATGAAAATAGTTTTATGCTAACGATCATACACATCGTTTATACATGTTAAAGAACATCTCAATCCAACGCGATTCGAGAAAATGAAAAGAGAATTCATCAAATTACACTAGTGCAAATCAAGTAAAATCACAATGGTACCTTCTGATGGTTTTAAAATTAACTTTACATACATTCAAACATTTAGTACTAATAGTTATGACGATGAAACGATTTAACTGAAGTAAATTTAACTTTAAAAATAACTGCTTATTTATAAAAATCCATTTATTCTGAAAATCATGATGTCAAGTCAATTATATAAAATAAGTAACTTTCACGACTTGTATACTTTACTATAAACACTATAATAAATAAACATTTCATATAAAATTTATGAACTAATGACAAATAATACATATTTCCTGAAAATAAGTTTTTCCATTCACCAAGTTATTAAATGAGATTAGATTCAACTACACGTGGCTTCAATCTTCTAGTCACCTCCTCATATCAAATTATGGCATTTTCCAAGTGATCATATCTTTTCATACATGTGGCTCAAGCATTATTCTTATCATTAGGAATATTAGGAATAAGGGTTAACCAATAAGAACTTGATATCTTTAATTATCAACCTCATAATCCCAATTAAGGTCACTAATAACATGTAACTCCCTTACATGAGTTATTTTAACACCTAATCCCCAGCATTTGACACTTAGTTTGGTTTTCATACTAAAAAATCCGAGAAAACCAGAAGATTGACAAAAATAGCACTACACTTCGAAACTATTGAAATATGATGTCAATTTTAAATTCTCACCAAAACCATTGACAAAAACAGCACTTTCTGGGCAGATTTCAAAAGTAGCACAAGTGGGGAATTTTGCTTTAAAATGTAAGAAATGGGATAAAAAAAATACCAAAATCACACCTCAAATCCTTATATCACTCTAATTCATCATAAATCAAGTGCTTGGTTTCATATATACACAACAATTTAATGATTTAAGATTTAATTTACAATGTGATAAAGTTCTAACTGGAAAAAATAAGAACAAATGACCGTTTATTGAATTCTGAAAGCAATTAAAGAGAAGTAAAAACAGACTAAGTAGACCCCTACCACTCAACTCTTGCCTGCCTACCACTTGGGTTTGCCCCTCTATTTATAGATCCTTTCTAGCTGCTTGCCCCCTTCCTAACTTGCCACAATAACAGAATTCTGTTGCTGCACATTCTTCTCAATTCTTCCTGGGCCTTTTAGAATTGGAGGCCTATCATCACCCCCGATTTCAAAGACATCTTGTCCTTAAAATGGAAGTCAGGGAAGCGTTGCAGTATAAAATCAACTTCTTCCTATGAAGCCTCGACTGTAGGACAGTCTTTCCATTTTATCAATACTTCACCTCCCATTCGTTTTCCCAAGACTTGATCGGGTTCTACATTCCCTTCTAAATTTGCATCACGATGGGATGGAAACAATTGGCTTCCTAGTTCGACCCATGCTTCTCCATCTTCATTTTGTAAGGCTCTTACCTTAGTTTTACGGGAAACTCCTGTCTTGTGAAGCCCTGTGTCTCCCTTCAATGTAAATCTTGTTTTCTCCATTCCAAATCGCATGGTTAACCGCTTCCAATTCACCTTCTTATCTCCCAAACTACCCGGCCACTACATTCCTAGCACTACATCGATACAACCTAGCTCCAAAGGCAAGAAATTTCCCACAATTGTCAACCTTTCAACTCAACTATTACTACTTTACAAATTCCCTATCTCTTAACAGACTTGCCCATCCCCCACACAATGTTGTAATTGGTAATGTCCTTTCTCTTCTTCTCCATCGTCCCTTTCTACCAACAGCACACGCAGCTTGCCATTCTGGCACTAGTGGCCCATCGTGTACTTTTTTCCATACCTAAAGCACAAGCCATTAAGGTTTGACAAAACTTCCGAACCGAGTGGTTTTTCTTAAGTTAAATACCCGAATGAGTATCTGAATCTTGAAGCGATGGGTTTGGTTCGGTTCTCTATTATAGATCAAGAACCGAAAAATTGAATAAGAACCAAATGTCCCTAATTTTTTTAATTAATTTATTTTAAATAAACCAAATTATTTTATTTTTTCTCAATAAATTTGCTAACTACTTAATTTAACTCAAACCCAAAAATATGATTTTTCCTATTTCTAATTTCCAGTTCAAAGCCAACTTAATCAAATTAGTCTAAATTTTATCCAAATTCGTTACTCTAACATAATACCATTTCTACCGTTCTAAAGAAATCGAATTGAAACTCGACAACGCCCCTCTTAATTATTGTGAGCTCATTATCTTCCTTTTTTTGTGATTTTAACAATCAAATTTATGAAGAACTTAGCAAAGAGAGATGCAAAAGACACAAAAAATTGGACTACATCATTTTGTAAGAGCTAATATTGAATATATCATTCGTTGAATTAATATAGCTTTGTAAATATTAAAAATTTTAATTATATTACAAAACCTAGGAACGGAACCGAACCGAGCCCAAAGAGTTCCATAATTAAATTTGGACCCGACAGTTCCACTTAGTAAATACCCGAAAATTTCGGGTCAAGTTCGATTCTTGTTAGAATCGAACCGGACCGGACCATGTCCAGCTCTACAAGCCATTATCTCGTCTAATCTGCAACTTAGCATCTGTCAAGCACCTGACCATAAATTTTAGCTAATTACAGGATGTTTTCTCCCCCACGGTGATCGTTTTTGTCGCGAACATTTTTGGCCTCTTCGACCCTAAACGTATTGGGTGGGTTGCTTTTGATGGTCACTTAGGATGTGGAGTCTTGGGTCGATATAATTATAAGATTGTTATCTTCCACCTTCTGGGCTATTTCAATAATTTGGCCCAAAGGACCTCACTTCAGCCCTTATCTTTGGTTGCAATCCATTTACGACTGTACTCTCCGGAGCTTCATCTAAAATTCCCTTCAACGGAGTTGCAAGCATTTCAAATTCTCACAGGAATTCCGCCACCATTCCAACCTAATTGATGGCCAAAAACTTCTCACATAAGCTTTCTTCTTGAGTTGGTCTCAAGTGCAACTAGAGTTGCTGTTGGAACCATTGCCACATCTACATTGGCGCCTCCGTCCACTTGAGCCATAACAATGCATCTTCATCTAGACTCACGGCAATTGCTCCTAATTTTTCCCATTCTGCCTAACCATTGACCACGAAGCATCTCTCCACTAGGAACAGCCAACCATCTAACTTTTCCGCGCTAAAAGTTGTCATTTCAGACTCTCGCACTCATCACCAATTATCCTCGTCTCTGTTCTGCTCCACGCTTACTGTGGGTTGATGAATGTATTGCACTCATGCTTTTGATACCATTTAATCCTGATATTCAGTTTATTTCTATAAGTTTTGGAACGTTTTGATTTGTGTTTTTGTATTGTTTTAAAGGTTAGATGAATTGGTGTTAATGATAAAAAATTTGGAGAAAAGAGTGACATGAATCAATGAGAAGTTGATGTTGATTAGGTAGAACGCGATTATTGGAAGCTAAATTGAAAGAAAGAAGTGAATAACGACAAAAAATGGTGAAATCCAGAGTTTAAGAACTCAATTACAATTTTTCAATAATTTATTCAGACTATAAAGCGATAATTAAAGATTGTTAAGAGTCAATCGGATGCAATTAGAAGTCAAAAATGACTTAAATATGATCAAAATATTTTCATAAATCATTTTTCAACTGCACAAGTTCCAAATTTTTAGCCAGAGAGATTGAGACACATTTGTAACATAGTAAACGCTGGAAATGGAAAAAGCAATCTGAAGTAAAGTTGTAACTAATTGAGTTATCTTTCCTACACACTTTGAATTGCCTTAATCGGATATCAAAAGAAAAAAGTATGATGAAAATACTGAACGATGCGCAGTGCTTATTTTTTATCAGAAAATGGGCGTTGGGGCACACTAGAAAAAGTTATGATAAAAGTACTAAGCCCCCATTTGAGACCCATTAAATTTATAATACGTTTTTCTATCTCATTTTTTACCACACATTTTTCAATAAAATAATATTATCCATAAACCAAAAGCTTTTCTTTCTTTTTCAACTCCACATTCTCAAAAAAAACACTATTTCAAAAAATTTAACATCAAATAATGGGGACCAAAAGGGGGCTAAAGGATATACAGTGTTGATTTTTATCACGAAAATGGGCACCAACACGCCACAATCAGGATATCCCAGCGCCCAGTCTCGAGAGAGAAGAGAAATCGCAGTGCCAAGGAACGCTGCTGGGCGAGCGGTTTTAATTCTCTTGGACTTCTTTTCAATGCCAATCCGATCCCAACTCTTCCAAGACTTCAAGATACTATAAATACAACCCTAGAGACCACTTCTATTCTACAATTCAGCAGGACAAGAGACAAGAAATTATCAAGAAAGCAAGAAGAACATCAAAAAGAGGATCGATTCAACCACTAAAATAGTTTTATCTTTCTTCTTCTCTACATGTTTTTTATTATAAATTTGATTATATCTCTTTCTATAGTCATTAACTAAACTCCATATCTAGAGTCTGATGTAACCAACTTGAGATTATGTTTTCATAATTAGATAATTATTTATTTGAAATTTTTCAATCATGTTTATTTGTTATTTATTCTTAATACTTTAAATTATTTGGTCACTAATTGAATAATTAGATGCTTTAAATTTCAATACTTGAGAGAGAAAGATTTAGGCACGATCATAGAATAACACAACCAAAATTTTATAAATTAAAAGAGAGAGTATAGAATCTTTGAAACACATTCAACCTAAGACCATGAACTTCATAATTGCTAGATTTTAATTCGGAACAGAGATATTGAAATTGAAATATAGGAATAATTTTTACTCGGCACTCAAGAGCAGTAGAATTAAATTATTGTTCTTGCTTATAAACTTGAAAAAATTGATTAGAAATAATTATATAATTAAGAATCATATTTGATAGTTAAGTAAAATCATAATCCTATGCTTTCTCATCTTGATTATTCTTCCAACTTGCATTTATTTGTTGAATTAGTTACCACATTCATCACAATAACTCAATTAAAATCATTGATTCTAAAATTAATTCGTCAAGATAAATAAGAGCTATACAATTATAGTACTTGATAGAAATTAAATATCAATCATTGTTGGTTCGATATCCTTAACTCCATTGTTATATTACAAAACTTGACATCATATACTGCGGTATAATTACGTTCTATGAAACGCGTAACAAGTTTCTCGCAGTAGAATTAAATTATTGTTCTTGCTTATAAACTTGAAAAAATTGATTAGAAATAATTATATAATTAAGAATCATATTTAATAGTTAAGTAAAATCATAATCCTATGCTTTCTCATCTTGATTATTCTTCCAACTTGCATTTATTTGTTCAATTAGTTACCACATTCATCACAATAACTCAGTTAAAATCATTGATTCTAAAATTAATTCGTCAAGATAAATAAGAGCTATACAATTATAGTACTTGATAGAAATTAAATATCAATCATTGTTGGTTCGATATCCTTAACTCCATTGTTATATTACAAAACTTGACATCATATACTGCGGTATAATTACGTTCTATGAAACGCGTAACAAGTTTCTCATAAATGGACTCACTCGAACCTTATGGCCATTTTCCCCTATCTAAGGTATGTAGATTCGCTCTGATCTCAGGTTGTTTGTTCTGTTGAATGGGTCCTTCAGCAACACTACCTGAGCCCTCTCCCTTCCAAGCTTCCACCAATTCCTATTCTCAAGTTAGCATGCTGCATTGTCTACCTTGTTTCTTCCATTAATTGCAACATTTTGGCCATGTTTTAGGCTACCTGATCCACCGATCTCTCCAAACCGAGAAGGCATTGCATCTCAACCTTTAGTTCTTCCATTTCCTTTTCCACTATATCCACCCTACCATGTCTTTTTCAGTGCCATCGGGAGGAACTACTCTAATACCAATTGTTAAGGTTCTAACCGGAGAAAATACGAACAAAGGACTGTTTATTGAATTCTGAAAGCAATTACAGGGAAATATAAAGTAGAAACTGACAAACTAGACTCCTACCACTCAACTCTTGCCTACCTACTACTACAATATGCCCCTCTATTTATAGATCATTCTAGCTGCTTGCCCCTTTCCAGCTTGCGATGATCAAAAAACAGTGTTGCTACACTCTTTCAGGCTCTTCTAGAATTGGAGGCCTATCACAAACCTATTTCATATTTCTTCCACTTCAACACCAATCTTCCAATATACATTATTCTTTGCAATATTATGGTTTAATACCTCAAATACATATGAACATCCTTTAATTCTTGCTAAACTTCGAATTTTAGCAAATTTTCCATTACCAAAAAAATAATTCAACCTTCTTATACTCATCACTCTAAATTAAAGGAGAAATTGATGAGCTCGAGCTAGTGTCCTCCTCCTCCTCCTTCTCCTCCTTCTTCTTCTTCTTCTTGTTTCTTCTCTCCATTTTCCCCCAATTTCATAAAGGAAGTGCTAGACAATATTATATACCAATATTTAATAGTTGGGTTTTAATATTAAACCCTTAAGTTTCCATCTCTATTTACCAATTTTATTTGTATAATCATCAAATAGTCCAAACTAATTCAACTAGCTTATTATAATCCCGAGAAAACTATTTACATAATTTAAATCCTAAATTTAAAGGGAATTTACAAAAATGTCCAAATCTATACTTGTTAATTGAAATGTGTCTAATTTTGATAAGTATTGCAAAAAGGGCCACATTTGACACCAAAATGTCCATTATACCCTTAATGAAAGAAGAAGAAAAAAATATTTTTTTTATTGGATGCAGCATGCATCTCGAGGCGATGAAGTTGCTTCTATGAGAAGCTACAATAATTTGCAAGTTATTACTCAATGGTTCTATTTCCTGCATTATCTAGTATATAATGACCAATTGAATTATCAGGTAACACTGTCATGGCAATACGAATTATTAGAAAGAATGCAAACTAGTCTACAGTTTAGAAATCCAGTCACAATTCACCTAAAGCAATCTTGGTTTTACAACTACTTTTACTACAACAGACAATGATCAACTTAAAAGGGCATCTTCTTAAAATAAAGATATCTTTACGACTATTGATTACTTATCAAGTCAAAATATAAGACATGTAGACCATACTTCATTTCTCACGAAATCTGATATAAAAATTCAACAAAGAGGAAAGAAAAAGCTTAACATCCTTAAAGTCCCAATCCCAATTCAACATAAATGGATCAACTCCAACCAGTAGATGTACTAACAAACATGGTAAACCTTCCTATAGCGACAATTTCATATCTGCTCTATTGTACCAGATAGTTATATAGTCAAATTGCAAACCCGAAGATTGGAACATACCATAAAAACAAAGCCAAGATTGTGTAAATCTTAAAATAAGACAGAAGGCAACCTGATGTGGTTTCAATTCTTCAGCAAAAGCATCAATTTCTGGTTTCCTCAAAATATCTCTCAAATAAACCTAGAAATTTTCATGCAAGACATCAGCAGTAAGCATCCTTGATTAAACCACAGCATCTGTTTGTAGTTTATATTAACTCGTGGAACTTTAAGGAAGATGTGCATGTACGTTTTTTGCTTTTGCAGTTGGTCCTTGTTATGAGTAAGGATTTAAGAGATTACCTTCTGAAAGATGGGATAGATCTTAAGCTTAGAGCAACGTTCATCCTGTTGGAAGAAAAGACAGTGCTAGAATTTCATCATAATGCAAAATCGAACCTAGCACAACCTGAAAATAAAATCATCATGGCAATCTCACTCCAGAATACAGAAGGTGAAAAGTCAAACACAATACATTTAGAATATATATCGTGAAGTTGATGGTAACAGTCCTATTTAGCAACCTCAATGGCAGAAGGAAGCATGTACATCGTCCACCTAAAGCAAATATTTGACTAAGATATCATGGAACATTCCAAGAGGAAACATAATAAAAAAATTCAGTTTAGAGTGGACATGTACAACAGACACATGTCCAGTATAAATGATAATGTTTTTACACCACACTTAGTACTTCTGTCAGAAGACAAAACACCATAACTTCCAGGTTATATAAGTTCATATACAATGTTTCTATACCCCCATATAGTACTTCTACACAGGCGTAATATATCAGTTAATATGTCAAGCATATGCTTGTTTATCATCGCTGCTGTCTTACAACTTTAATTACAAAATTTAACATCACTTCAGTTTCAATTCGATTAACTATGTAAGGGAAAACAAAGGATAACTATGACAGAGACAAAATGCTATAAGACAACTTTACAGCTGAGATTCAATTAAGTCCAATAGAAATCCGTGTAAAAATATTAGACAAAAACCAAGGAGTGCATTGCAAGTTGATAATCAACATCTTTTCAAATACACAAGCCCATCTACAATCTTCCGCTGCTCAATTTGGGAAATGACATAATAACGCAGGGTAGCTTTCAAGAATTATCTTCGAATCTAGAATCCTAGCATGGAAAACCTGTTAAAACGATAAAGCTAGGAATATATTCATCATAATCTAGATACTTCATATCATGGAGCCAAAAAATGTTAAATGTCAACCTTTTACTGCACATTCAAAGAAGCAGTCTTTGGGCAATGGAACAAACAATTGATACAATTGATAGATGGGAGACGACTGACCGGGTGGTGGACGGCAACTGGTGTGGCGGTGGGGGCGACTGGCGCCGCGTAAGAGAGTGCTTTAGTTGAGAGGCCAAAGAGAGATTTAGACAAAGACGACTTTCGGTTTGGTCGGCCACCGACGTAGTAGTGGTATCAGCTAGCGTGGCGGAGGGTAGCGGACGACGGCCTGCGAGAAGGAGACAGAGAGGGTTTGGGTTGGGCTAGGCCGAAGGCCCAAAGAGCGCTTTGTTGTGGTGTGTTTTGTTGTTGCGTTTTTGAAAAATGTAGCAGTGGTGAATGAGGAAATACCTGCTAATAGCCTAAATAGAATTGTAAATTGTGAGATTAGACCTAAAAAATAATTATTTGAAGAATAGCCTTTGAATTATAATCTTTCCAAAAATACCCCCTCATAGAGAATTTGTAATCAAAGCCATTACAATGTATAAATACCTACAATTAGGACCCCAAAGAAATATAGATCATGAATCTTTAATAAATTTAACCCTAAATATCATACAAAATTTTATTAATCTAAGAAATGCAACAGATAATGAATTAAATTATTTAAAAGAAGATCTGAAGAGTTTCTTTACAGAATATTTAGATCCAAAATTAAAATATAAAAATGTTTATATAAATAATAGAGCAATCAAAATAGAAAATAATATACATAAACAAATTCTTAAACTGGAAAGAAGAATTAACAAATTAAATATAATTATTAAAGAACAGATTTTGGCAAAAAATAGTGAATTTTATAAATTCTATTGCAATATTTTAAATACTTATGAAGAATTTAATTGGATTCAAAATCCGAACCCCTCTGCTACTCGCTCCGACGAGCTGGTATCAGAACCATGTTACAAACCTAAAATTATGATGAACTTAGTAGATGAAGAAAATATAATTGAAGAATTTTTTTAAAAAGTTGAAAAATATAAAAAATCAAGTTATCCCTACTTACCTAAAAATACCACAAATGAAAGTTTTGAGGATATACACAAAAGATTAGAAAATTTAGAACATAATCTACAGGTAGGAAATGCTCTTTTAGATAAAAATCTTAAAGTGAAAGATAGGATTATAATTAATTTACCTCAAGATTTTAGGATAACACAAAAAGATAATAATAAAGGGAAAAAACATGAAAAAAATCAATATATGATTACAGATGTAAAAGAACTATAACCAAAATTCTTAAAATCTACTGGTGAAGAGTATGATGAATATAAAAAACAGTTAGAAGAATTAACTGAAAAAATGAAAAAAAACAAAGATGAATACTAATCCATCAACAAGTCAAAATATAAAAATAGAATTCAGTAGTGATGAAGAATACGATTATCCTTATTATACAACAATACCTCTTAAGGAAGGTATTAATCAATATAGAAAAATACAGAAAATATACACTGGAAATATAAGAAAACAATCCATAAAAGAAATAAATTCAATGAATTCTTATAATGAACCAATCCACACAATAGGAATATGGTTAGATCTAGACTGTGTAGATAAAAATAAAGCTATTGAAACATAGATGAAAAGTACAGACTTAGCAATACAATTTAATAAATGGGAAACATCTACAGCTTTTGGATTTATAGAACATACATTCAGAGAAATTGTTTCTGAATGATGGAGAAAGTTACCAGAAATAATTAAAGGAAGAATAAAGGATGGAGAAAGTAGAACTGAAATACTAGATAATAGGAATACTTTAAATGATCAAAATATACAAGAATTATTAAAAAAATTTGAAAAAGGCTTAAGAACAGAGTTCTTGGGAGATAAATATACTTCTAATGAAGAAGATAGAAAACAAGATGAATATAATGAAGGAATGATAGCAATGGAAAATTTAAAGATATATGATACATGTGAATTAGAAAGATATACATGTAAATTTGAAGAATTATACTATATATTAAATCAAGGAGATTATCAAGAAAATAAACATATACTAAGTTCTTATTTTACAAAATTATCATTCCCATGGGGAATAAAGTTATTAAAATAATATGAGAAATTACTACCTTTAGGAGAAGAATGAGTAAAAATAGATAGTTTTGAAAGTAGAATTGAATTTACAAAAAGAATAATAGGTATGTGGTATAGAGAAGCTCTAGAAAATAAAAAAAACATACAAAATAAGAAAGAATTCCTTATGTTGTTACAAAGATATAGGTCAAATTGAACAATTTGGATGCCATAAAAAGAAATATAAACCATATAAGAAATATAAAAGAAAATTCAAAAACTACAAAAAATTCAGGAAAAGAAATTTTAGACCACACAAAAAATATTTCAAGAAAAGAAATTGGAATAAAAAATTCAAATCAAGAAATATTAAAAAATATAGATGTTTCATCTGTAATGAAGAAGGACACATTGCCCCTCAATGTCCTAAAAAGAAATATAGACAGAATATAAAAACTCTTAGAATTTATGAAAAATTTCAAGATGATAGTGATATAGAACCAATTAAATATTTTGGAGGTTTAAGTAATGAATGCAGTAACATTTATGAATTAGATACATTCTCATCAGAGGAAGATTCTGAGGAGATAGTATATATGAATCAGAAGATACAACAAGCAGATCTAGAAATAGAAGTAGAAACAACTGAAGAAGTTGAAGACTCGATAGAAGGTATAAATCAAGAAATTATCTTTGATATTAAAAAATACAAAGGAATAACCAAGAAAATGTTAGACTTACAAGAAAAAGATGTATTCCATCAAGAATTCTTAGGAATACTATCAAGAGTAAATAAAACAATTATAAGTATGAATTATAAAGAAATGTCTATCAATATAAAAGATACCATAGGAAGAGCAAGAATTCCCATAATTACAAAAAAATGGGTAAAACAAAAGTTATCCAAAATTTCGGAAAACATAAGAAACAAATTGAAATGTATTGAGATAGTAGGAGTCCAGATAATGATAAAATGATTCTTTAGAGAAGGTATGAACATACCAATAGAAATATATTGTATGGACAATAGAATCTTACAAGATCCTATAGATGCTCTATTAGGAACAGTTGTAGGAAATTTAGTCTATCAAAAGATAATATTTACAGTAAAACCAAATTACTCAGTTTCATTAATTGATGAAAATATTGATCAAAGTTTCAATCTATATTATAGAATTAGAAACTTGAAAATATTACGAAAAAGTAAGGCTATTAGTATAAGCATAAAATCAATTTTTGCTTTTAGTACTAGCCAACATAACAATCTAAGAAAAATAGCTGATAATATTATCATATATAAAGATTTTGAGGAATTAGCATAATACATACCTCTTAGGAAATACCAAAAACATGGAGTCGCTATACCAGAACAGATAATACTTGATTTTCACAAACAAGCTCAGGAAATTAATTCTGAAGGAAAATTAATAAGAAGAAATAATGTCAACCTAGAAGGAGATAATCTTATTGCAAGATTCTCCTCTAGACAAGACTCTAAGATAAATAAACTCAAAAAATTAAGTATTGCTGAACCATCAAGTTTGCAATATTACATCAAAACAAGATATGTAAATCAAGAAGGATATAAGAAGAATCTTCTTGTCCTCATAGACATTAGAGTAGATAAAAGTCATGTAAATACTAAATTTGTTAGTTATTTAATAGATTTTGAAATACCATAACCATATATATTCAAGAATTATTTAGGAAATAATCTTGAAATAAGAAAATATGTTAAATTCCCTCTTATACTTATGGGAGAGGGTCAGAAAAAATATACTAAAGAAATAATTCTATATAAAGATGAATTATATGGAGTTGAACGTTCACCTATATTACTAGGAATGAACTTTCTTGAGAAACATAGTCCTTATAAAATTTGCCAAGGATATTTAAAAATAACAGTTGATGATGATCCAATCATCATATCAAGAATAGATGAAAATATAAAATCATTGTTATTATAGAAAGAGTAATTAGTATTAATCACATAAGTCCATATATTGAAATTACACTCAATATAAAAGTTATTGCAGAATTAAATTTCATGCTTACTTAGATATAGGAAGTACAATAAGTTTATGCTTACCAAATGTACTACCATCTGAATACTGGAAATATAATTCAAAGAAGATTGTCACCGCTACAACAGCCGGTGGAAATAAGGTAATATACAGCAAATAGGCTACGCAAGTACCTTTCCTAATTTTCTTTAGAGAAGTATTTGTTGATACAATATAAGTGTCAACCACAATTGGATGTAATATTTTATTAGGACAAAATTTCCTATTAAAATATGCATCATTTACACAATATATTGATAAATATATGTTCACAACTCCTTGTGCACACAAAATATTTACACCAAAAATAAATAAGACTGTTACCATTGCATATACAAACATAAACTATCAGAGTTCCTCAACTCAGTGTGGTGGATGTTGAAGTACAGAAAAATTTAACCCAGGTACAGTCCTAAAAATGACAACAGAAAATAGGTTAAAAAATTGAAAAAAGAAATTTCTGAAACATATTCTGAAAATTCCTTAGAAAAATTGAATACAGACAAAGTAAAGGCAAAAATAGAATTAACCAAATCCAGATACTATAGTTAGCATCAAACCAATGAAATATAGTGTAGATGACCAAAAGGAATTTAAAGACCAGATAAAAGAATTGTTAGAAGCCAAATTACTTAGGCCTAGTAAAAGTCCACATAGCAGTCCAGCCTTTATGGTTAGAAAACATAGTGAGATAAAAAGAGGAAAAACCAGAATGGTAATAAATTACAAAAAATTAAATGAAATTACTAAATTTGATGGATACTACTTGCGAAATAAGGACACCCTTATTAAACAAGTACAGAATAAAAAGATATTTTCAAATTTTGATTGTAAGTCAGGGTTTTGGCAAATCA